ATAGAGAGAGAGAGAGAGAGAGAGAGAGCACTTTTTCTAGGATGAGTTCACAAACCTAATTGTTCAACCTCGTATACATGGTGCTAGGAAAATAATCCTTGCAGGCCAGTCACCCATTTCTCTATTCCTCAAGAATTAGAAGAAGCTTTAGGGAATGTACTGACTTAAGCCAAAAGGGAAAACCCTGCCCTCCCACATATAAAATTAAAACCAGGAAATTAAGTGTCACTTTCAAAAAACAACTCTTGAGTCACTTGACAAAATTTCCCCGCAACATTAAAGCCACCAGATAACTTAGTGTCTTTGAACGTCCTGGACTGAAAGATTAAAGGAGAAAAACTGACTTTAATGGCTTTGAAACTTAGCTTCATGGCTTTTTCTGCAGCAGCCGGCAGAGGAAGGTGTTTTCTCTGTACAAGTTCCAGAGAACAACCACAGTTGTTTTGCAAATAAATAGCATCACATCAAAAGCAGAAAGGCAGGGTACACATGACATCCCAGCATGGCCCTCTCCCAAATCTCTGCCTGATGGAAAAGACCAGTGGGGTCGAGGATAGGCCAAGCGTGAACTGAGAGCTCTACTTGCCAACAGTCATCTGCAAACTCAGAGAAGAAAGGAGTAAGCGGCTAGAATTTTAGAAAAGGGTGAGACAAAGAGACTAATGTTATTTATGGGGACAACTGATGTCCAGAAGAGAATTCCCAGCATTAGTGAGCCTTGTTGTATAAGAAGTGTAAGGAATCAGTAAAAATGATTCCAGAAACAATTTCAAGTCCCTCCTTTTATAAATATACCTTTGTCTAATCAAACCAAGTCTATATACTAGCCAGGCATGGTGGCTCAGGCCTGTCCTCTCAGTACTCTGGTGGGGGAGGGGGGCGCAGAGCTCTTTGAGCTCAGAAATTTGAGACCAGCCTGTTTAAGAGCCTGAGAAAGAGTGAGACCCTGTCTCTACTAAAAATAGAAAAATTAGCAAAGCATTGTAGCAAACACCTGTAGTCCCATCTACTTAGGAGGTTGAGGCAGAGGATCCTTGAACTCAGGAGTTTGAGGATGCTGTGAGCTATGATGACACAGCACTCTAGCCTGGGACAACAGAGTGACATCATGTCTCAAAATCTAAAAATTAACAACAAAAAGACAAACCCTATATAAAATGAAAAACATACTGCTATTATCCCTCTAGAATATTTACTTGGGCTTTATCTAAAATATAGATAGCTAAAGATGAATAAAGGAATTCCATTTGTTATCGTAATGGTATAAAACAACATTTTTGGTTCTTAACTGGCTGTACTCTGCAAAAAGAAAATGGAGGTTGCAATAGTCCATGCAGACTTGTAGCCCAGAATGAAATTATTCTTCCTAAAATTCCATGCCTAGTTATTGGACTCATGACAAGAGCAGATGACATAACCATCTATTAGAAAGAACAGTGTTTTAGACACTTAACCCGTAGAGAGCCAGCAGTTTTAAGGCACTAACTGGATGATTCTTAATTTCAGCACCAGGTACTGGTGATAAATATCACTTTAAGGACAAAGTAATCATGATACGTTATTATTAATTAAAATGATGATCATGATGATGAGGAAAATGGTGACAGCTTGTATTTTGTTTTATGCTTCAAAGATATTGCATACAGGAAATTATCTTGTATCCTCCTAAGCAAATCAGTGCCAACCTTGAGGACAGGCAGCATCATGCATGAGAACTTGAATAATCATAACTTTTATTCAGTCAAGGGAATTGGTATGTCTTCACAGCAGAACTACTGGAATAACCAATATTTCTCTAGTTCTACATTTTTGGAGCTAATCAAAAGAACATTGGGTTCAAATATATGGAAACTGATACGAGGCACGTCCCTTTTCTGTTTTCCCACCTGTGATAATGTTAGTGTTCATTCAAAGGATAAAATGAGGTAATGTGGATTAAAGTTTCTAGGATGGTGACTGGGCCCCCAGTAAGCAGGTGCTCAGTGAACAAATGTGCAATTTGATGCTGACACAGAAGTGACAGCTAGAAGATAGGTGAGGAAGGACTTTTGTGGCAAGTGGTGGAAATCTACTGTCAATGGACTCAAACAAAAAGAAATGTATGAGTTTAGGTAAGTGGGAGAGTTAAGGGGTGATAGGAACTTTAGTAATGACCAGAGGACACTGACTCTCTGCTGGCTCTTCTTGGCTCTATTGAATTCCTTCTCAAGCAGGCTCACTCTCCATGTGCAGGTTGCAATGGCCACCAGCTGTTGCAGGCTTTTGCCTTCTGTGGGTTTAGTGGTAAGTCACTAAGTTCTAGCAGAAGTCCTGGTGAGAAGTTGCACTGCCTTACCTGGCTCATCTTTTGAGCTGGGGTCAGCGGCAGGGGCAAGCCCTGTCCAACCCACATGGATGATTCCCTAGGGGAGAAGAGATATTCTTTTACCAGAAGAAGAAATACTAGACAAGGAAAACAACAGATGTCTAGTATGGAGAAACTGTCCAGACTTCTCTCTCATGGAATGGGGACTCCATAGTGGGAATGGACGGTCCTTGGGAGTTAGAAAAATCAGTGTTTATTGTGCAACTGTGAACTCTCCTGCGTCTTCGTAGATACCGGGACTACCGGGACCCTCCTCATTCCCTGGTGCCCTATGGCTACACGCTGCAGTTCTGGCATGTCCTCGCAGCTCGACTGGCTTTTATCATTGTGTTTGAGGTACGTTTTCTCAACCAGTTCCTGTATTTCCTTTAATATAATGAAGTCACTACGAGTAATGAATAAAAGTAAGTGGCAGGGACTTTGAATACGATTATCAAGTATCGTATTAAAAAATACGATTAAGAAGTATCTAGAAGTAGTATAGTCGTATTATGTAATTTATCTTTCATCTTCTCTTTCTTTTTCTTCAATGGAGTATTCTAATTTTCTAAGAAATGTTTAAAAGTCCATTGTTGGTTGTTAATGAGCAAATCAGAACTCATTGGTCCTAAATTTAATACTCTAGGGCCATAGTTCTTAAACTTAGTTCTAAACATAGTTCTGGAACTACATTTTTCCATCCCAGAGATTCTGATACATCATGTCTGTGACAAGCATTCTAGGGTAGTGCTAGGACCAAAGTCCAGGAAACATTGGACTAGATATGACAAGTGGTACCTCTGGTTGTATAACATTATGACATTCCTTATACTCGAGCACAAAAAGGAGTTTTCATTATCATATGTCAATAACAGCATATTATCTATTTCCTTTTGGTCTTTAAGAACATTTCTATATAAATAGTTTACATTTCTATAACTCTAGTCATCAATGGAGATTTCATCACTTGTCACTTGATGGAAGCCAGATTAATGCAAGGTCAAGTTTACCTGGCTTAGACCAGAAGAGGTCTCTGAGACTATTCACTGCTTTTTTAATTCGCTCCAGAGAACCAAGAGAAAACAATATGAAGCTGGTCTTCCCTGGAAATTAGCCTACCAGTGACTCTCTTCAAAGGAGATTTGTTTTCCTTCTTCTCATCCATAGTTTCTATGCTAGATCAAAAGGAGATTTTTTTTTCATAATGAGACAGGATCTCTCTCTGTCACCTGGGCCAGAATACAGTGGCCATATAATAGCTCGCTGTGACTCAAGTTCTTAGGTTCAAGTGATTTTCTTCCCTTATCCTCCCAAATAGCTGGGACTACAGGCACAAGCTACCATGCCTGGTTAATTTTCTGTTTTTTTTGTAGAGACAAGGTCTCACTCTTGCTCAGGCTGGTCTTCAACTCCTGGCCCCAAGTGATACTTCCTCCTCAGCTTCCCAAAGTTCTAGGATTATAGGTGCAAACCATCGCACCTGGCCTAAAGGAGATATTTTTAACCTATCACTGTTTTAACATTTTTCAAAAAAACTAAAAATAAAAGAGTAAATAAAAAAATGACAAAATAAAATAATGGGTCAAGTATGTTATTATTTGGCTTTTGAATTCAAACTTTTTGCTTTTTTTCAATATTCTATTATGACTATTTTAAGATACTAGAAATATACAGAAGAGCCTCTTACTTGGCAGAACCATGTGCCATCCAGTTTTATATAAAATTCAGAATACTTAGCAATATCATTTGAATATAATTTAGTCTTCAGTACTTTAGAATTATAAGGGCTTTAAATTGTCATCTGCATCTGGTACTTTATTGATTATCATGATATAGTTAAACAGAAATGATAACAAATCCAGACTTCCAGCTATTGATATTTCAGGTAAACAATTTGTGACAGCTTACCAGAAAGAAAAATGTTTCTTCCTGACATGATCATTTCCCGGGGCCCATTGATAATTTGCACACTGAAGATTTGTAAAGCATTTGGCAGTCTACGAACCATTTTTAAACGTTTTCTTCTAATTCTCACTATAATACCCATTTTATAGATGAACAAAATGAGGCTGAGAAAAGTTAAGCAACTCAGCCTTAGCTAGACAGCCAGCTCTTAAACAGTAAAAGCTACTGAGCTGGGACTCACAGCTGGGTTTTCTGAGTCTGCAGTATAGTTCCACGGTTCTGAACTATGGAACCATTCCTCCCCATCTTCCTTCCTGACCCTCTTCTTATTCCCTTGGTGGTGTCATCAGACCAAGTTCAGGCCTCCCCTACCCTTTGATCATCTTCCATTATATACATCTCCCCTGGACTCATCCCACTTTCCAGATTCCCTAGGGCTCCACGTCCTTCTTGAGCCAACTCCCAAAGCTCATTCGGGCTAAAGATGGATAATAGATCTGATCTGTCGCATTCTCCTCTGTGTTTTTAGCACCTCGTATTTTGTATAAAGCACCTCATTTCATATCTGATCCCAGACCTCCCAAAAGACCTAAGGGATCGAATGAGAAGAGAGAAGTACTTGATTCAGGAGATGATGTATGAAGCGGAACTGGAACGTCTCCAGAAGGAACGAAAGGAGAGGAAGAAAAACGGAAAAGCACATCACAATGAGTGGCCGTGACCAGGGAGGTAAGAGGGGCACTCGTGGCCTGACCCCACTCCAAGGTTGAGAGAGGGCGCTGTAAACTCCCGAAAACAAAGCTTGCCACTGACGCTGAAACAAGGGTTAAAATTAACTCCTCAGGGACCAGCTCGTTTCTTTCTTTAATAATTGTAAATATAGCTTGATTTTCTCCTCTCACCTTGAATCTCTTCTCTGCCTCCTCGCCAGCCTCTGGCCTGGCAGTCAGGGTCTCCATGAGTTGACCTACGTGTTCCTGAAACAAACCTTTCTCTCCCTTCTTCTCCAGCCGACTGTTCCCTTTGATATCCCCAGGGAAGCACACCCCTTCTTTCTGATGTCAGCATTGCCTCTTACCCACCAGGGCTTTCCTTCCACCATTCACCTCCTGTTTCCTTCTAGGCTGATCTGGGTCACGCTGTTCCTTTTAGAGTTTCCTCATCAGCCTGTTGAGACTCACTTCTAAAGGTCTCTGATTATGGCCCTCAGTATGCAGTAACCACATGTATGCTGATTTGTATCATTAATTTATGATGTTCCAATAGTTATCAGGATTCCCCAGCAAAATGTAAGCATCTTTAGAGAAAGCTCTATGGATTATTATTTTATCCATCCAACTACCTTGACAGAGTTAGGCACCGAACTCCCATTAAATGCATATTCAATTAACAGACATTCAATGTATTCAATAGACATGGAATATATTGTAAGAAAGTTCCATAATAATCCCACCCGTACCATCAGAAAGTTATTCTGAACTTTCTTTCTAGCAAGTCAATGATTAGGTCACCATCACTCAACTTCTCTTGGCCTGTGTCGTGAGCTCTCCATTCTAATATTCTGTGAGTCTACTTTTTTTTTTTTTGAGACAGAGTTTCAAGCTGTCATCTTGGGTAGAGTGCTGTGGCATCACAGCTCACAGCAACCTCAAACTCTTGGGCTCAAGTGATTCTTTTGCCTCAACCTCCCAAGTAGCTGGGACTACAGGTGACTGCCACAACACCCGGTGATTTTGTTGTTGTAGTTGTCGTTGTTTTAGTTGATCCGGACCAGGTTCAAACCCACCAGCCTCCCTGTATGTGGCCAGTGCCCTCCCCACTGAGCTACGGGGACCACCCTGTGAGTCTACTTTTAATACTGAATTTCATTTTCCCTCCTTTGCCCTTTAATTCTTTCTTCACCACTTCATGGAAAACTTCAAAGACATTTTTCAAAATTTGGCGTCCCCCCAAAATGTAAGATATACACATAGAAAAGAAGTATGGTTTTCACTTTTCCTGTGGGTGAAGATCCAGCGATATCTGTAGAAATGTTCGTTGTTACATTAGTAAAGTTGTCTCAACCCAGATCCGTGTTGGAGTTCAAAAGGTTCTCACGAGGTGGATATGAGGGTGTGTTTGGAGGAAATAAGCAAGACTTCACAAGGCTAAAAGTCGTATGTAGTTGAATACTAGCTTTGCTCTCAGTTGCAGAGTAGACCTTGACTGCACTAAAGGCAAGAAATGTTTTGCTACTTGGTAATTTTCTTATTTCCCAGATCTGCTATTTGGCTATGTGATTTGGGCCAAGAAAATTCCTTAACTTTTCTGAGCTTACCTATTGGGCAGAATCCATGTGCAGATCAAGGAAGAGAATGTATGGGAGATGCTTACTAAGCTATAAAGTAAGCTGTAGGATCCCAGGCGGGATTTGTATCACTGCTGGGTATCATATTGTAGACCTCCAGATTCTAGATCTGGCTTTTCCAGTCTCTATCTGTATGATCTGGGGCATTCATGTGGATTCAGTTTTCACATATGCAAAAGTGAAGAAGTTGGACTAAACAATACTTTAAACACCTTGCCAGCTTTGACCTTCTGGGATTCTCTGATTTGCTCCAAGCTTCTGGCCCCTATGCCCATTCTGATCACCTCTTACCAGTCTTCGGAGGAGAAAGACCTACTGTATCCAGAGGCTTTAGTGGCATGGAGGCAGACATTGGCAAAGAGAATTGTTCCTGGGAGCTCCAGGGGCCAGAGACCAAAGTACAACGTGGCAGTATCCCCAGCTGGGTGATGTCCTGGACTGCAGGGTTGATAACCATTTGGGAGTTTCTTCTGGACTCCCCACTGCTAGCTACTTTCTTCCCAAGGAGGCTATTTCTAGTTTGTTTGGGGTTTTTTAGAGACAGAGTCTCACTCTGTCACGCGATGCAATCATAGCTCACTGTAACCTCGAACTCCTGGGCTCAAGAGCTGGTTTGATCCTGCCTTAGCTTCCCAAGTAGCTGGGACCACAAGCACATACCTCCACACTCAGCTAAGTTTTGTTTTCTAGAAACAAGGTCTTGCTGTCTTGCCCAGGGTGGGCTCGAACTCCTAGACTCAAGCAATCTTCCTGTCTCAGTCTCCTAAAGTGCTGGGATCAGAAGCATCAGCCCCTGGCCCTGGCCTATTTCTAGTTTTTGCTTCAAAGTTTATCATTTGCCTGTTTGTCTCTATTCCCCCAGCAATGGGCAGGATATCATGTTGTTCCACACTGGTTTTCTGCCTCAGTCTGTTCATCTGTAAAACAGGCATAATAATGTTTATACCATACCTGACTCAGTTTGGGGTTATAAATTCTTTGACTGCCTTTGATGATGGTAAGTACAAACTATCAGACATCATACTGTGGAGCCATTGTGTCCACGTAGGTTCTTAACGCCTTCTTTCCTCTTCCTAGGTGATAGTTCCTCTCTAGGCAAAGGACCTGAATCCTGTTTACTTCTCCCAGCTGTGCAAAAGCACATTCGAGTGAATGACTGAGATGCAACCACACTGCATGCTGCAGACACTGGCAGCCGCAGGGGGCCAGCACCCAGGAGGGAACTGGCATTGGAGCCGAGCTGCTGGGAAACCACGTTGCAGTCCAGCACACAACTGCTATGCATCCATAGACCATTCTCGACCAGGCAAGCATGCACATTATGGGCAGTTCCATTCTCAAGTTTTTAAAACCAAGGGGAACTTGTATACTGGGCCTGTTTTTCAGCCTGTTTGCTACCTTTTTTGCATTCTATCCTGTGTGAATTTTACAGACACTGGGCTAAAAAGGGTATTTGGACATCTGGACACACATTCCTAGAATGTCGTCATATGGTCCTAATTCCACGTCATCCACGACACAGACAAGACCCTGTTTACAATTTTTTCTTTCCTTTTTTTTTTTTAATTTCAGATCTTTCTGAACAGATTATTCTATACGACATATCTATAACTATGTGGATGGCCATAGATGTATTTCTGTGTGTACATATGTATAGTCATGTATTCTTACATATGTACATACAAGGACAGAGATATATAAAGTACATAGAAATTCCTTACTTGTAAATAGCCAAAAAGTACGGACATGAATGACAACTTTTCACATTTAAATAGTCATCAACATGAAGCCATGTTTAATGCTTGTTTAATGTGATGCAATAAAATTTAAAATAAATTTATGCACATGGAATATTTTCAGCTGGCTCCTCTGCAATTCTGTTGTATTTTCTCATATAATAAGAAGTATCACATAGCGGAGTGCGGGGATCTTGAATGCAGGGGAAAATTTCTAAGGGACTTCGTAAGAAATCAAATGTTTGCTAGATGAATGACACAAAAACAGACAAACAATTTAGCCAAATACTGTCTTTGCATTTGTCTTAGAATGTTTTGTCCTAATCTTGATGAGAGAATATTTTCAATACAGGGTGTCCATAAAGTTTGTGTGTGGTTTTAAATGGTCAATTGCACAAAAATTTTACAGACACCATGTATAAGGCATAATGAATATGCCAGATTTTGAGGATTTACTAATCTACTTAACTTTCTGAATCTTCATAAGACTAGACTATTAGAAATCTCCTACTCCACTATGATCCTCACTAAAACTACGTAGGCTGCCTAGATCTCTCAGGAAAGTAGTTATTTGGATAACTGTGTTATTTAAATATTAATAGTTAACAAGGGGAGTTAATCTTTGAACTGGCTGAATTTTATGTTAACTGATTTTGTTTTTTTTTAAACAGAGTCCCACCGTGTCACCCTTGGTAGAGTATTGGGGCATCACAGCTCATAGCAACCTCAAACTCCTGGACTTAAGCGATTCTCTTGCCTCCGCCTCCCAAGTAGCTGGGACTACAGGCGCCTGTCCCAATGCCAGCTATTTTTTGGTTGGAGTTGTCATTGTTGTTTGGCAGGCCCAGGCCGGGTTCAAACCCACCAGCTCCGGTATATGTGGCTGGCACCCTAGCTGCTGAGCTATAGGTGCTGAGCCTCTGTTAGCTGATTTTTTTAATGGAAAACATTCTATAAATCTACATATACAGTGCAAAATTGAAACATATTTATCCTTCCTTTGATGACTTAGTGCAGTGTTTTTCAACCTTATTTTATCTCATGGCACACTTGAACCTGTAGTTAAATTTCTGTGGCACAATTAAATTATGTTGATCCAAAAAAGAGTAAAAAGGGATATACTTACTGTGCTTTGAATTTCTTTCATAAACAATTCAATTAATGATCTTTAAAAATCTTCACAGCACACCCCACTCACTGGGACACTTCTGGTTCATTATGTTATTCCTCACTTGGTCTGTACATACCTGTCTTATGTCTCCAGATAGCAGAAGCCAAGAAACCCACCTTCCCCTTCCCCATTGCCTAACAGTGTGATACCTATACTCGAGTTTTCAGTGCTTCATAAAAATAAATGAATAGAGCTCAGCGCCGTAGCACAGCGGTTACAGCACCAGCCACCTACACCAAGGCTGGTGGGTTTGAACCTGGCCCGGGCCAGCTAAACAATAATGACAACTGCAACAAAAAATGGTGGGATATTGTAGCAGGTGTTGGTAGTCCCAGTTACTTGGGAGGCTGAGGCTAGAGAATCACTTGAGCTCAAGAGTTTGAGGTTGCTGTGAGCTGTGACGCCGTGGTACTCTACTGAGGGGGCCATAGTGAGACTCTGTCTCAAAATAAAATAAATAAATAAATAAATAAATAGAAATTGGAGATACATGTTTGCTTATAGCAGGCAATCAATTTAAACTCACGTTCCTGTAAATATATATTTCCACATGGGAGAACTAAGTGTAAACCCTCAGCTTCATATAATCCTCTATGCTAGTGAAAGAGTTAAAGCTATTTAGGTCATATGTGACATGCCAGCTAATTGTTTTCCCAATGGGGATATTAAGTGATTTTTCAAGATTACCCATTGACTGCCAGGATTCAGACACCAATTTTATAATATTTTCAACAAAAAAATTTAAGGAAGGCTTGCTTAACAATGCTTCCATTACATGAGTGATTTTAAATACTTAAATATTCAATTTGGACCCCATTAATCTCCTGGCAGGGAGGAAATAAGTAGTCAAGCTGTTGTCAGTAGGGGCCAGCCACCCTCAGCTTGCATAGTCATCAGTCCCCAAGGAAGTAATCTTTAATTTTCTTTCATTCAGACCTCACTAATTAGGAAATTGGGATCATTTGCATGGGCTGAGATCCATCATGTAAAACAAATTTTATAAACAAAGTAGAGAAAAATATTCAAACCAAATTTTATATTTGTTACTATTTTATTTATACAAACTTCAAAAAACAGACACTCATGGATATATTCCTAAATATTAAAAGCATAAAATAAAAGCAAAGCATTTGTTCTGGGCATGAGTTCTCACTCAGATACTGACAACATACTATTTCTTGACTTATAGTTCCATAAGCCAGTTTTTAAAGAATTATTTATATATAGTTGCTAATTATAAACCTGGGTTGTTTTTTTCCTGCATAATGTCATTGTCATCACCTAGGCCCTACCACCACTGATGTTTCTGATTCAGTAGGTCTACACTGGGCCAGAGGAGTTTGTTTCCTGCCATGTACCCAGGTATTGTTGACTCCGTTGGGTAGGGACCACATTTTGCAAACTACTGATCTGATGAATATTTTATGGCCATAAGTTAAATTACTTTGCTATATTCTACAATTCTAGCTGAGCTTAATCAGTTTTATCCAACTGTATAATATTTTAGGAACTACTGCCATGGTAGGGAGGTAAGTGGGCAGCAATTTCAAGCTGTGATCTTAGTTACAATAGCAATTATCTGTCATATCGTTCAATCCAAAGCACCACCTCTGTGGGCCTCCTGGCTGAGCAGGGCCCTGAGTGTTTCATGCTGGATCGAGTCAGTGCTACACAAAGGTCCTTAACCTTGACCTCATTATGGTATAACCCATCAGGCTGAGAATAACTCCTCCTACCTCCAACCCTTACCCTCACCAGTTTAGGAGAGTGTTTCCAACAACATACAAGAAAGCAAATCTATTAAATTTGTGGGCTTTAGTGGCAGACAAACTAAGCCTGGATCCAAAGTGTGTGACCTCAGACAAGGGATTTAACTCCTACCTCATGGGGAAGAAGCCATATACTGCCAGATCTCTCTCTCTTCAGTGACAGAGTTCTTGCTCTGGCTGTTTGGAGTGCCCTCAGCTCCCTGCCTCCAGCTGTCAGCCCCATCAGGACTTGCCTCTTTGCAGAAGGTCATCTTGTCCAAGGCCATGCCCCTTCCCGTGGCAGCCCACATCAGTGACTAATTGATGGAGGAATATGAAAGCCTGCTTTCTTGGAGCAGCTGTGAAGAGCTGCACTGACTGTGGAAGGCCCTGTGGGGAGGCTGCCCCCAGACCCACACCGTCAGCTGCACCTCCACTGCTGCCCAAATCTGCTTCCCTGTTTTTCCTTCCATAGGTGTTGATCTTAAAAACACTCCTTAATAAAATCTAAGCTCATTTCATTCCATATCGTCCACTTCCCTGGGCGATCAAACTTGTGACATTTATTTTTTAAAATGAATGAAAACTCTGAGATTCAGGATTGTATGGATTCATTCATTCTGTAAATATTTAGTCAGACTGGACAGTGCCTATGGCTCAGTGGGTAGGGCGCTGGGCCCCATATACCCAGTGTGGCGGGTTCAAACCTGACCCTGGCCAGCTAAAACAGCAGTGGCAACTGCAACAACAACAACAACAAAAGCCAGGCATTGTGGTAGGGGCACCTGTAGTCCCAGCTACTTAGGAGGCTGAGGCAAGAGAATCACTTAAGCCCAAGAGTTGGAGATTGCTGTGAGCTGTGATGCCACTGCACTGTACTGAGGGTAACAAAGTAAGACTCTGTCTCAAAAAATATATATAATATTTAGTTAGACTGTTCTGTGCAAAAAATACAGCGATAATCGTAGATGTCTAACTTAAAAAGATCATGAAAAGCATTCAGGTTGAAATCAATTTTTGGCTACAGTATTAACTGACTGCTTATTATTTAAAATAAGAGAGAGAATAGTGTATTTTCCTGTCATCAGTACTTCCTTCCTCACCTGCCTTGTTTGTTTCTTCTAACGGCCTACACTTATGATCTTCACATTTAGTTCTGAAACCCTGAGATCCCTGATTATCTGTCTAAACAGATCTCAGCCTAACTGAGCCTCATTCCCATAGGGGTTTCTGTCCCTACCTCCCTGCTGCCCTGGGAAGCTTGAAAATCATTATACTATTTTTGCATAACCCTGGGTTGTAGAAAATTGTGAGCCTATCTAAAACCTATTTCCCTGGACACCTAAGACTGCAATTTCTTCTTCTATACTCATAGTAAAGTCTCTCTAACTTCCCAAGACCCTATTCCTGCCCAAGTACGCCCACTGGAGTCTTGTGCCTTTACTGGAGTCTCCCGCTGTTTCTGGAGTCTTACAGCTCTGAGCTCTATCCAGGAGATAAGGGGCATGGGTTTGGTTGGTTTTTAAATCCCAGAAACCTATGGTGGTTTGCTGCCCACCATCCCAGGGCTGAGCACATGAAGTAAACACAAAGCCCCTTCCTCAGTGATGCAATATCACACTAGCTCTCACCTCTCCCCACCTACCCTCCCAGCACAGGAATCTTTTTCTACTCTCGAGTTAGAAATCCTACCTCCTACTTTCCAAGCTACTTTATCCTTGTTGACCTAAAAAGCTAGAATTTTGCACCCCCAGTCAAAAAGAAATTTCTATTTTCTCTGTTTTTTGCTGAGGCATCCCTTTTATGGCCTTTAAACATAAAACATCAGGCCTGAATACTTGAATGTGAAGAAGAGCCGAGGAGACAAGACTGACCTTGAAAGTGGAGGAGATCGTTGATTGCATGTTCTGAATATCCGCCCACTCTGCTCACCTCTGGACCTTCTCACATGCCTTCCTTCTCCACTCCATCACTCCTGCTGTCGGCATCCCCCTGGGGCCAGCCCCTTAACACTATGATGGCACCAAAAACAAGGCTTTCCTTGAGTCTTTCCTACCGTTTACTTTCATCCTTACCTTTGCCTGGGTATCTGGGCTTCCATTCATTATGTTTTACTTCTGTTTAGATCTCAAGCAACTCTTCTCCATAACTCAGAGACTTTCAATTAAAAAAAAAACTCCCAACCCACAAAATGGGAGAAAATGTTTG